GCGAACCCGACGAACGCCGTTGAATTTTTAATTCAACGGCGTTAAACGGCATTGAACGGGATTGAACGCGATTTAACGGCGTTCAACGCGAATGAACGCGCGGGTCTGACCGCTGTTCGGCGGGGTTCGGCGGGGTACGGCGGCCCGCAGCGGGGTTGGGGGGGGAGGGGGGGGGGGGGGGGGGGGGGGGGGGGGGGTTTATCGAAGGGTTGTGGGACAGGGATACGAGGGCGGCAGCCAGTCGACGGGGGAGGGGGGGCGGGGGTTGCGTGAGGCCACGCGTTTGGGGGGGAGGGAGGGGTTGCGATTGTTGACTCGCGAGGCAGCGAGGGCAGCCGTCATGGGGAGGTCACAGCGGCGTGAGCATGAGCCTGCCCCTGACCATGTGCAGGACACATTCAGGGGCCGCTCCCCTGTGTACCGTTTACCTGGTTGTCGGCAAGAAGGTCGACAACAAGGGGGTCATGATGCTGCGTTGCACTTTTTGCAACAAAGTATTTCAGGGGAGCCAATTCCAGGCGACGAGGCATTTCACGCAGATGAACTACTGTAAGGACGTCAGCGACGAGGCTTTGTACGAGATCGCGCGACCGAGTCAACAGAAGTTCGAGAGCGATCAAATGGAGAGGGTTGCCAGGTACGAGGCGGAGCGCGGAGTCGATGTGCCTGGCACGGGTGGTGTGAGGGGAGGAGAGGCGTGGCGGCAGCCCGTGGAGGGAGCGTTAGGAGGGGTCGGGGGAGATGGTGGAGGTGGAGACACGAAGGAGGGCACGATCGACGTCGATCGCGAGGCGCGTGTCCCGGGCGAGCAGGGAGTCCCGGGACACGAGGACGTGCCTGAGGTTTATCCAGGCACTGGGGAGAGGATGGAGGATTTTTTGAGGCGAGCAGCCAAGGGACCTGTAGGGGAGGGTTCTTCCAAGAGGAAGGAAGGTGGAACAAATCCGGACGCCGCCCCAGGTGGGAAGAGGCTTCACCAGCAGAAGGTCACTGACGTCTACGGTGGCGAGTGGGTTGCTCGCCACAAGAAGACATTCCTTCGCTGGCTCTATTCCAGCGGGGTCCCCTTCAATGCCTTTCGCAACCAGGCTTGGAAGGCATACCAGCAGGTCCTTCTTGAGCAGCCAGGCAGTTCCCCGCGCGCTGTGCTCCCCAGCCACAGCGAGATTGCGAGTATGCAGGCGGTGGAGACCCACCGTGAGGAGCTGGCGGAGGAGTTGGAGGTGAGGCAGCCATTCTGGATCACTGGTGCCACCCTCCTCTCCGACGGGAGGAACTCACGAGACGGGAGACCGATCGTGAATTTCCTTGCCGCCGACTCGCGAGGGGTCGTCATTTACACGACGATCAATCGCGAGGGCAAGCCGGACGATGCAGTGCACGTCCTTCGGAGATGGGTGACCATCTTCCACGAGTTTAGTTTCGGCGGCCCGCAGCGGGTCAATGCGATATGCACAGACTCCGCATCGGCGTACGTGGGGGCTGCAAGGGCATTGGCCTCGCCGGGCATCCCTCCTGCAATCAAGAGGATCACTTGGATTCCGTGTTCTGTCCATGTCTGCAACAAATTGTTGTCATACATGGGGACGAGTTGCGACACGTTTGTGGACGCGATTACACGCGCTCGTGTTCTGGTGGTGTTTTTCAAAACCCACCAGGCCGCCCTTTATTTCTTTAGGAAGCGCAGCCCCAACAAGGGGCTTGTGCTTTCTTTCGAGACGGGGTTCACGTCTATTTATTCTATGTTGGAGAGACTGTTGGCCCTGCAGGACGCTCTGCAGGCGATGATGCGAGGGGATGACGGGCGGGAGTTTGCTTCTATACCATGGTCCGCCGATGTGTGCGACATGGCGCGTTGGGTGCACCGGCAGATCAGATGGGAGCCTTGGTGGCACACGATGGCCACCATAGTCCACATCATGCAGCCCGTCATGGAGCTGCTTAGGCGGATGGATCGTGGGGGGCAGTACATGTCCCTCATGATCGAGTGGACACACGCCGTGTCACTGATGCGTGTGCTCCTTTGAGGGTTTTCGTTGACCGCATCATCAGGCGTGTGCAGGCTCGCACACAGCACATGCTGAGCACATGCTGGAGCCTGCTCACTGCGCGGGGTTCTTACTGAACCCCCGCAGACGACATGTTGAGTATTTTTCGGGCGAGGTGAGGGATTACCCTCGTTGGCTTGTAAGGCAAGCCAAGAGGTACATTTTGACGCAGAGGGGTTACGAGGAGGATGGTGTGGAGTACATCATTGCATGTCGGCAGTTTGAGGACTTCCACATGCAGCAGGGCACATTTGGGGATTGGGGATGGGGGGAGGGGCGTGCTCGTGGGCGTGCTTGCAGCGGCGACAGGGAGACGATTGAGTGCGCGTCCTGGTGGTCTCAGTACGGGTCTGGCGCGCCTGAGTTGCATCGCTGCGCTCTTCGTGTGATGCACATGTGGTCTTGCGCCTCTCCAGCGGAGAGGAACTGGGCAG